TTACCAAATATGAGCCACTGTGGGCAAGAATTCAGAGCAGAGCCCCATCCAAAGGTTTGTTCTTCTGGCAGCAGCCAACTGCGTTTACCTTCTCCTTGTGAACTTCCAGACTCATCTCAGAAGTAGGTGATGAGTGCAGGAAACTCGGAGCAGGCTTCCCATTTCCCCTTCTCACTGGTTGAACCACATCTCTCTTTTTCCCCTCGTCATTTAATTTCTCACCCCCTCTGGTTGGGTTTCACTCCGTTCCAGAGGCTTTATAGATATTTTAGTGAAGTAGGAGAATATCCACAGACCAGATGCTTTTTCCTTTGTGCTTGGATGAGGATGAATGGCAGAACAGGGTTTTATTGTGTGCTGCTGTTTGTGCAAATGAGAGGTCCCAGAACCATGAGCATCGCAGTGGGATTTACTGTGGTTTTGGTCCACACCCAGCATGACTCTGTCTCTTAGCCCAGATGCCAAAGGTGCACCCAGCCCTGGTCCTGCCCTCTCGGTGCCATTCAGCTTTGGGTAGGTGTGGGGCATGAAGTGAGCCTAAATCTGCCTGGAGTGGCAGTGACAGGGGCTCAGGTTGGGCACATGAGACCCAGTGGAGGATGAGCACTGAGGCCATAGCATGCCTTCAGCCTGGGGATGTGCTTGTGGATTGATTCGGGATGCCCACACCGAATCCAGAATCTGAATTTGTGCTTCATAGCAAGAGATAAATCACTATATCTGGGGCGGGGGGAGGGTGTTACTCGAGGGGTAGAACTGAAAGAAATGAGGTTTCCTATTTTATTATATGAGAGATATTTTTCCACTCAATTATCGCTTCTGATGTCGCGTCCCAGTGCCCGCGGTGCAGCCACCAGGCTTGTCGCCGTCCCATGCACGCCGACCACTCTGTTCACACAATATTGGGCTGATTTGTTTTATACTTAGGAAATTACAGAAATAAAAGCAATTTTACTGGAGAACTCTGGATTTTCTGTGTTTTTTGTGCTTTTTCTTTTTTTTTTTTTTTTTGCCATTCTCCCCTGCCCTTGCCTGCCTGTGCAGGTTTGGGGTGCAGCTGGGAGCTCGTGGAGCTGCACGTAGTGTCTGAGGGCATTCTTCAGCCCTAAAAGGAGCTGTGCTCGCCAGATTGGGATTTCTTGTGGGTTCTCAGGGCAGCCAAACTAGAAATGGAGCTGAGCTTGTCTCTGGCATCAGACGACAAAAGGCGAAGTGAAAGAAGTGTCACGATCCAACTTGGGAATTTTTAAAGTACCAGCTAATTTGCAACACAAATAACAGTGCTAATTTTGACTGCATCCAGAATAGTCCTCACCTTAACTCCCCCCGGCTGAGTAGGTTTGGATAAGCCTTGCAATGATCTCTGAAAGAAATAATTAATAAAGAAGGAATAATGAAAGCATTTGGCCTCTGCTAGGGAGTGGAACAGAACAGCTGGAGATGGAAACTCATGGCCCCAGATCACCCAAAGCTCTTCTCATGGTCATGTTTTGCATGGAAAATCCTGCCCCATTGTGCTTTGGACCAAATCAGAGTTCACAGTGAGTCCCTCCATGTGTTTCTGCTGTGATGGGGCCCCATGTGTCCCTTCCCGACGCAACAAGGTGGAGAAAGGAGCTGCAAAGCTGGTGGTGTCCTAAGGAAGGGCTAAGAGAGAGCCATGGAGCAGCCATGAAGGGTTTTGGAAGAGGAGAGTGGTTGGCATCATCCTGCCGAATGCACTGAATGCAGCCTGCCATAGGGCCACTTCCATGCCAGCTGGACATCAAACCAACCCATCACAGCTGCTCCTGGGAACACGGTGAGCACAAAATTCCCCCAACCCCTTTTTTATCACTGTGCCTTTCACCAGTGAAGCAGTGTGTGCCATTAGAACCCAACACCTAGAGTGTGTGCTAATCCTACAGCAACCAAAGGAGCCTCTGTACCCCATGGGAAGCCTTTGGCATAGGATGGATGCACCAAACCCATCAGTGCCCTCAGCATCCTGGTGTCACTCGCATGTCTTGCAGCTGCCAAGCCCGCAACCAGGGATGCGAGTTGCCGTGGCAACCCAGGATGCAAACATCTCTGCCAAGCACTGAACACCACCAAAAACATCCGTCTGTCTGTCTGCACAGGGGCGTTGTGCAGAGCAGAGCCAGCTCTGCTGGGAAGGAACGAAGGGAGGTCAAGGACAAGTTAAAATTGGAAAGAAAGCTGAACATGCCGTTTCGTAGCCCTCGCTTGTACGTATCTGCCAGTTTTAGGTTTTTCTTTCCCTGCCCTTCCTATGGGTGGTGGAAGCATCTCCTCCAGCCAGCGGGAGCACAGGGCTCAGAACAACTAAAATTGCTGGTAGTGGCCACTCAGGGGATCTGCCTGGTGACCTCAGCCAGCACAGGTCTCTCTTGAACCCTGCTGTCATATTTCTGCCCCACTTGTCACTGTGTTTCGTTCCCTCCAGCCCCCAGATTTGCAGCGTGCTGCACATTTTTTGTGCTGAAATTCAGAGCTCCGTGCTGGAAGCTGCCAAGCATGAGTCTGGATTGTGTAATGAACTTCATCTATTATTATTTCCAGCACCCCCCACTAGAATATTTTGGAAAAGCAATGCCTGAGAGCCTGGAAAGCCTGTGTAGTGCCAACCCCAGCTTTGCTTTTTGGGATGAGGGTATGTGTGGCAGCTTTCAAACCCACTCTTTGAACGCTTTGGTGGTCCAGGTTTCACTGTGAAATGAGGATTCCCTCACATTCCCAGATGTCCCTGTTAAGAATACTATATATATATATTTTTATTTTTTTTCTCTGGGTAGCCCTAAGTAGAGGCTGTGCAATGAGCAGGGCAGGAGGAGCAGTGCAGCCAGGATGCTCTTGAGTTGGTCCCAGCCCTTGGAGCTGATAGGAACAGTGGATGCAAGTGAGCCTGGTGCTGGGGGCTTGGCAGCGCCAGGCAGGGAGGGTAGACCTAAGCCAGCATTTAGGCAACACTGTCCTAAGTGCTAACATTGGCGTGTTAATGCTTTGTTTGCCATTATGTGCTTTTTTATCTCCCAGAACGGAGCTGATGGACTCACTGTCCTCACTCTGCCCAGTTTTATGCTCTGTCCCTATTGTTTTTTTTTATTATCTTTTTGTTAGCCCTTGCAGTTACATGTTCACCAGAGAACTTTAAGAGGGAAGCTCTAGTCCGGCACAGGGATCCCAGCAACTGCACAGCAGCATGGCTCCAGGAACCCAGTGAAGTTCTGCAGGCAACTACAGCCCAGAGGCAGGTACGTCCCATACAAACACCATTTAATTCATGGGCTCACGCACAGTGCTTCCCTATGTTCACCATCTGGCAAGCTGCAAGGTTATCTCCGGGGAGAAGCATCACTGCAAACAGTGCTGATGGCACGCAGATATGCCAACCAGCTGGCACTGCTCAGTGCCACCTCACATTGTTATGGGAACAGGTAGGTTGGCAATGCCATCACACTCCCTGCCATAAAGTCATTTAACAAGCATTCAGCCCAGGGAGATGCGAGCCCAGAGATATGGGCCAGGTGCAGTAGGCGAGCTTTGGCTGCTGATCGGCCAACGGTTGGGTGCTGCAGGCATGGTGTTGGATGCTGCGTGCCCACTGCAATGTGGCTCCAAGGGACATCATGCCGGGTGGTGCCCATTATCTCCCGATGGAAACTATTTTGCTAAATCCATGTTATAACCATTTTATTGACTCCGAGTACCAAGGAGAAGGTTGGATGTGACTCTTTTACAAGTCATTTTGCTGTTAAATTTAGCTGTCCTATTTTCATTATCCCCATGGCTTTGGCAGGGGTGAAGCGCCTTCCCTAAAAGGCCTCGTTTCATACAGTAAGTTATTTGCTGCTCTCCTGACAGATATCTCAGCTTATAAGGTTTGCCTGCTCCGCTCGATAGCGGTATCGGCCTTCAATCTTATGTGATTAGCATCAGCTCTTTGCATTGCTTTTGGCTCTTTGTGTGGCTGCTTTCATGTCTCTTGGGGTCAGGATGTAGTCATGCCACCGAGCATCTGATCCTGGGCCCCGGGCTTTGCGGCTTTGGGTTTCTCCCATGCTCCCCATTTCCTGCAGCGTGCTTAGATTTGTTCTGCTTGCTTTGTGTTTGTGGGGTGGCAGCATGCTGAGCCAACAGGAGCGCAATGCCAAGCAAAGGGTGATCGGTGAGGCTAACAGGAATGTTCTGGAAGATTCAACCCATCAGGAGAAACTTCTCTGTGTTTTCAAAAGCGGTTCCCCAACACAGAGGAAGAGCAGAGCCACATTCTTATCTTGGTGCCCCTCAGCTCTGTCCAGGAGCTGTTCCCTGTACTGGCAGGAGTGCAGCAGGAAGTATTGGCATTGCTGGGAGCTTTGGAGACACCCCAAAACCTTCCCCAGCTACTCCCCAGCAAAGCAAGTCCCACCCCAGGGAACAGCTGATAGGATGCAATGCAAGTATGGGTTCCTGCAGCCAACACTTCTGTGCTTTGTCCATTGCAGCAGTGTCAGGCCCTGAATTTCAGCCCAGTATGTGGGATCCAGCCCCTGCCCATGATGGCCCCCGCCTGCATCATCCCTGCCTGCATCCCGCCAGCCCCGCTCCCAGCCGAACCTCTCAGGAAATGCTGGAGATGCCTCGCAGTGCTCGACTCAGCCCGTGCAAGTGCTGGGTTGCAGCCAATTCCCAGTGGGGCAGCTGAGCTGTGGAAGGAAGCCAGGCTGGGGTCCTGTGGCTGAGTGCCCAGCGTTGGGTTGGGGCTCCTGTGCCCCCATCTAGCATGGTGACATGGGGTCAGAGGTGGCCTTAGGGACATAGAGTGGGATACGGGTTAGGGAAAAGAGTGGGAGACCCACAGTCCAAATCCACCTCAGGGACCATCAGCACCAAACTCTGGGGTGCCTCTGATCCCGCTGTCCCCGAGCCCTCCCAGTCCCAGGGAGGGCTTCAGCACCCGTCCCACCCCCACACCATGTAGGGCACTGCTGCACCCAGCCCAGCACTTATAGGAAGAGGAAAACCCGTCTCTGTGCAGAGGAGGAAGCCTGACAGCCCGGCTGAGCACAGAGCACCACCGATAGCATTTTTTTTTATCCTTATCATTCTATTTATTTTTACTTTAATCCCTCTGCAAACAGAGGAGTGACGGCAGGCACAGCCCAAGCCGCGTGGCGGTGGCAAGCATTGGGGCCAGCGGCACAGCCCCGGCGTGGCCATGGGGCAGCGATGCATGGACAAGCTGTCCTCATTCCTCTTCGAGTATGACACCCCCCGCATGGTGCTGGTGAGGAACAAGAAGGTGGGACTGACCTTCCGACTGATCCAGCTCATCGTCCTGGCGTACATCATAGGGTGAGCTTGCTTTCCTAAATGAAAAATAGGAATGGAGAGAGGAAGGAGGTTCCCATCACTCCCATATCCCAACACGGGGGGGGTATACGGTGACGGCATCGCATTCCCATGTCGTCGTCACCCCGTGCTGTGGGGCTGCTCCCCACATCCTTCCCATCCCAGCGGTGCAGAGCCACGAGCCCTGCCCAGCCTCAGCGCCTGCTGAGCTGCCCTCTGCTCTGCTCCAGCTGCTGGCTGCTGGCCTGAGAATCTGTTGTTATTTTTATTTTCTTTCGTATGAAATGAGAAGCAGCTGGGGCCAGCGCGGTGATTTGTGAGCCCCAAGTGGCTGCAGACAGGACCATAAATTTCCCTGTGCCCTCCCTGGCTGCTGGAGGCCATACTCCAGGGCCCTGTTTTCCTTTGCTTGTAGGAGGCAGCCCCAAGAGCAGCTTAAAAACAGGGCACAGAAGAGGCAGATGGGCTGGAATTATGTGGGGACACACATTCTCAGGTACCCCAGGCCTGGTAAGGCTGGTCAGGGCTGCCTCCAACCATCAGGATCCTTCCTGCAATGGGGATTTGCCAGCACAAGGCGCAATGTTACGGGACACAAGAGTTGGGAATGATGCAGGAATCACCGCTGTGCACTAATGGGCTGGAAAGCAGCATCTGTGAGAGTTTGTATAGACAGGGAGGCATGGCACAGTGGGAAAAGTAGAGTAAGAACTGGGGGAAAAGTGAGTATTTATTGCACATGGAGCTCAGAGCAAGACCAGAGTGCCCCGGGAGCAGCAGCACCCATCACAGCGTCTCCCCTCTGTCCCTGGAATTTGGGGGGAGCACCCCAGAGCTGCCCTTTGTGGGGTGGAATCCCAATTCCCTCCTGCCTGGCTCACCAGGACCTCAGCCCCAACTGCAGACAAATGGCGAACACGCAGGGGCGGTTGCTTGCCGCAGGATTTCCTAAGGAACCGCAACTTAAGTAACCCAGCTAAAAGTGGGCTGGGCAGCAGGGAGAGAACAAAATGCCAACAGTGGGGGAAGTGATGCCCAGGGACAGAGGAGGATGCTGGCACGGTGCTGTTGCGATGCTATCAGCAGAGATGTGAGCACTGAGGAAGGTCCAGCATGTCCTGCAGCTCCGTGCTTGATGGCTCTTCCCCTTGCTTGAGGAGACACTGGATCCCTCCAGGCCCTGTGTGCATGCAGGATGGAGGCAAATGTGGGGCTGCCCAGCTCCCAGCCCACAGCTAGGAGAAGATGCCCAATATAAATTGTAGAACCCAGTACTGTTTAGGGTGAAAAAGGAGAGTTCTTCAGCAGCACATGGATTTCTGCTTCCATCCTTGGGTGCTGCCCCCTTGTCTCAGGGCACACCGGAAAGCATCATCCCCACAGTGTCCCCAGAAGGGCCGGCAGCTGCAGGGCAGAGCACCAGGCGGGGACGAAAACCAGAGCGCTCCTTTTTTAGTGCCAGGAATGCTATCCAGAATGGTCGCCTGCCCATGTTTATAGTCTCCCCGAGTCAGAGCAAATCCACTGGCAGCTTGTTTATGCCCTGAGTTAAAAAGTGCCAGGAGCTGGCCCCCGCCACCAGCTGGGAGATGCAGGCATCCTGCAGCCTTTGCTACAATCCCACCATAGGTTTCTATCCCAGGTGCCTACAAATCCTGCTCCATCTACCTTTGTGTGCCTGCAGCCACAAAATGCGTCACACATCCCAAATTAAATGAGCCTGAGGCAAGGGTTGAGTCCTGCAGCTATAGCATGTGCCTTGAGCACAGAGTGGGTGAGCTTCAGCAAGAGGAAATTCGGGAAATATCCCCCCCTGGTGATGGTACCTGGCCACAGAGATGTGCCTGTGGCATCTGCCCTCATCCCCCATGATGTCCCTCATCCTGTCCTGTCCCAGGGTGCCTCATGTGCCCACATTGCCATCCTCACCCAGTTGCTTTTCCCCATACAGGTGGGTTTTCCTCTATGAGAAGGGCTACCAGACACAGGACAGCATCGTCAGCTCTGTGTCAGTGAAACTCAAGGGCCTGACAATGACCAACGAGAGCACCTTGGGTCCACACATCTGGGATGTGGTGGATTATGTCTTCCCACCCCAGGTAAGGGGGCAGGAGGGGCTGGGGACTGCTGTCACCCCAACCAGGAATTTCCCCATGCACCATGTGGGCTTTCCATGGTGCAAAGCAGGAGGCTCCCACAATAACCCCTTGCCCACATAGCACACCTGGGAGCATCCCATGCTTGGGGCCCACCAGCACTGATGGGGCATGCTTGATGCCACCTAACCAAGGACCAAAGCTCCTACAATACCTCCACCTTTGGAAGAAAGGGTTCTGAACCATCTCTGGGGCTGGTGACACCATAGCACCCCAAGGAGAGCCCATATTTGAGGAGGAAGAAGCCACCAGCCCAGCCAGGCCCTGGTGGTTTTGGTGTCTCCTGTGCCAGCAGAATAGGTTCCTCTATAAAGGAACTGCCAACCGTGCCACTCATCAGCTCCTTGGCTGTGTCTCTGCAGGGAGACAGTTCTTTTGTGGTGATGACCAACTTCATTATCACTCCTGGACAGAAACAAGGAACCTGCCCTGAGGTAAACACACCTGCTTTCTTCAGTGGTCACAGCTTCTGTAACTTGGAGGGTTGTGGTGGTGGCACTGAGGAAGTAATTTTGACAGTGAGGAACTGGAAAAAAAAATACTCCTCTTTTCCCTGCTTACTCTGGATGCCCTCAGCTGGGAAGAGGTGTATGAATGAGTTCTGTCCCCAGAATGGGACAAACAGAAAGCACGGATATGAGGCTGGGATGCAATGCTCAGTGCCTTTCTCCAAACAGGCGCCAGACACTGGTCTCTGCAGCCAGGACAGCGACTGCAGTGAGGGGACATACAGCCGCCAGGGGCAAGGTACAGTCACCTGTGGATGCTGTGGTGCAGCATCCCGGGAAAGGGTCCCACTGGGGCTGGCCCTGCTTTCCTCTTCCCAGTGATGGCTGAGCTGCAAAAACCGTTCCTGACAAAACTAGTCAAGGCAATTGGATGTTTTCCCCAAACTGATAGCTTTCTAGCAGCTAATTGGCCACAATTAATTGTGCTTTTTGTAAAGAGGCCCGAAAGAATTGAGTGTGTGGTGCTCTGGACATCTCTGGAAGAGCTGGGACTCCAGCCAGACCCCACAGATCCCAGCATTAAGCTGAGTTCCCCAGTGTTCAGGGATGTGAGCAGCCATCTCTATCCCACAGGAATCATGACAGGCAAATGCATTAATTTCAACACTTCAGTGAAGACCTGTGAAATCTTTGGCTGGTGCCCTGCTGAAGTGGACTACCCCATCCCCAAGTAAGCAGAGATGCTGCTGCCCTATTTCCCACCCTGCTGGGGTTGGCAGAGCAATCCTGGGCTCTGCGCATGGCCCCGTGGCCCCGCTCTGTTCTCTCTGCCCTCACAGCAACATCGTGCTCTGCCATGAGCTCCATCTCCCATCCCATGGACCACCATGAAGCATCTCCCAGCACACACAGAGTGCTTTTCCCCCTTGCCGTGGACATGTGCCCACACTTGTGTTTTTCAGCCCTGCCCTGTTGCCAGAAGTGGAGAAGTTCACCATGTTCATCAAGAACAGCATCACCTTCCCCAAGTTCAAGGTGTCCAGGTAAGAGGTCTGTGAGAAGACTTCTGCTTGGCCGTGGCCCTAAGGGGGACGCCCTGGATGCATCTGCCTTCACAGAGGATGGCATCCCCCACCACCCTGCTCAGGATGGTCTGACTGCAACATCCATATAAATGAGCTGGTGGAGATGAACATTTCCCTTTCACATCTGTCTCAGCTTGGCTGGTGACTGTAGGAAAGGGGTTGCTGAAACTAATCTCTTTCCCTTCCCTTCTCTTCTTTCTCCCTGTTTTTCCCCATAAGAAAGCACTAAAACACTGCATGAGGTAGTGTGGTATGAACAGCTAGGATGAGCCTGCTGCCTCAAAAATGCAAAGCAGTAGGATGTGGGGTCAGACATACGCCAGCACACAGGGATTTGTGACACCACCACTCACATATCTCATTTGGAGCAAATTAGGAGAAGCTATTTGTGCTGAGCATGGGAAATTTCTCGCTAAGCTGGTCATGTCCCCACTCTTAAGGGGCAGTGACTGGGGCTGTGTGAGCGGGACATGGCAGGGGACAGCAGATTCTGGAAGGCGAGGGCAGCCACAGCCAGCTGTGGGGTCAGGAGGGGACTTCCTGTCTTTGATCACTGCCGCTAATTAAGAGCTGAGCAGAAGTGATGGGATGGGGATGACCAAAGCACGATGCTTGTGAAACCAGCTGGATTAGGAGGCTTCGTGGAAAGGCTATTTTGGAGAGAAAGGGCAGAGATGAGTGGCATGCAAGGCATCATCATCCCTTCTAGAGGAGATGGCAGAGGATTGCTATGGATGCTGTGAGACATGTTATCTACGAGCTGGAGCAACATGTGGGGCCAGGCACCTCTGGAGTTCCATTGCCATTAAAACGATTCAATGATTCAGATCTTCAGACTCCCTTTTGATTTTCTGTTGCAGGCGCAACTTAGTGGAGGGCGTCACCACGCAGTACCTGAAGAAATGCACGTACCACAAAGTCACCGACTCCTTGTGCCCTGTGTTCGACCTGGGATATGTCGTGAAGGAATCAGGTCAAAATTTCAGTATGCTGGCTGTGAAGGTAAGGAAGATTCTGCTGCTGTCCCCTGCAGTCATGGGGAGGGGATACCAGGGCTGGTGTCACTGGGACAAGGGATGCGCTCTCCCCAGCGCTGCACAGAAGAGCCTGAATTAAATCCCTTATGGATGGTGAAGCTCTGTGGATGTAGCCTTTTTCTGATTTAGATTTAAATGTAAGCCATGAAATGTAATGCTTTGATGCAGTGAGATTAAACCAGAGGCAAAGCTCATGGGAGAAATCAGGCAAGGACAGGCTGTTCCATAGGGGCCATAGAGCACTCTTTTGCAGAACTATTCTTAGAATCAGCATCATTGGATGGCTTGGGTTGGAAGAGATTTCAAAGATCACCCAGTACCAACAACCTGCCGTGGGAGGGCTGCCAACCACTAAACCACTCCTTGGGCTCTGCATGATGATCAGGAACAAGAGGGTATGGACTTGGTCTTAAGTGCAGCCCCAGTGACCGCTCTCTTGGCTGCAGGGCGGTGTGGTGGGCATCACCATTGACTGGAACTGTGACCTCGACTGGCCTATCCGGTACTGCAAACCTATTTACCAGTTCCACGGCCTTTACAATGACGACAGCAACGTTTCACCAGGCTTCAATTTCAGGTGAGGGCACTCCTCCTACAGGCAGAAGCTGGAGGTGATGGTTTTGGGATCCCACAGCACCCAGTGATGGCAGAAGGGATTCAGGGGGTTATAAACACCCAAATGAACCATTAACACTCCCCATTTAATGGGACAGATATGCCAAATACTACAGAGAAGATGACATGGAAAAGAGGACACTGTACAAGGTGTTTGGGATCCGATTCGACATCCTGGTGAATGGCAAGGTAAGGGCTTTCCTCGTGGTGCTCCCACTGGCAGTATTTAAAGGGTGTCCCTTTTTAGTTACAAATATAGGAAGTGAAATAATTTCAATCTGTGTGCCTAAACCCAAGCCAATCATATTCTTTTTCTGACCAATATGCTAAAAACAGTCCTTACTCAGCTCTTGTTTCTCTGAGCAGTGGTGAGCTCTGCAGTTGGAACCCTACCTGAAGCTGTCACATCTTTTCCTTGTGAGTCCACTGTCACACGACACCACTTCTATCTCATTTTATGCAGGCAGGCAAATTTGACATCATCCCCACCATGACCACGATTGGCTCTGGGATTGGTATTTTTGGAGTGGTAAGTTTGGATGTTTCCAGCCTTCATATAGCTTCACTAGCCTTGCTGTGACTCTCAGGAAGGAGGTGACCCCATGGCCCCTGTTCCTGCTGTGGGGAGTGCCATCCTACAGAGCATCCCGGGATCCTGATCCTGATGCAAGACACAAAAACTTCTGCATAATCCTAAGGGTGTGTGTGCTGCGTGTACCTAAATGGGAAGCACTTAACTTCTGATGGCTTAAGTTGCTCAGTATCAGATCCAGCACACTTCTGTCCTAAATGTTCTAACCCGGCTTTCAGGCAGCTGTGTGCTTTTCAGCACTCAGAAGCAGAAGGAACCCCAGTTCATAGAGCAAACTGGGTTGGAAGCATAGTGGGCACGGTGAGCTGGAGGGCAGCCCCAACCCTGCCTATGATTTGCTTCAAGGCCTCTGTCCTCTGTGACCTGCTCCTGCTGCATTTTCTCCAAGGACGGGACTACTACAAGCAGAAGAAGTTCAAGTATGCAGAACAGGAGCCTGTGAGTACTGGCATGTTCCTCCCTTGGGCGGGCGAGTGAAGGTGCGTGCATCCAGGAGCACCCAGGCACTGTCCTGAGAAGTGGGAACCCGGAGCCCCCGTATTCTCTCCAAAATGACGTTCCCAAATCACTTTCTGAGAACATCCCCATAACCATGGAATGTTCCATGTCCTTTCATAGGATGTGAAAACAGATCCCCTCAAATTCATCTTACATGTTGGATGTTAGGAATGTTCCTTTGTGGGGGGCTCTGTAAAAGCATTACCATTTTCTTTTTTTTAACTCCTAGTCAAAGTCAACTAAGAAAGGGAAGGAGCTGGACAGTGCACAGTGAGAGGTGAGCAGGGTTTCCCCAGGTCGGGAGTGATGGGTCTCAGGGATAGCCTTGGGAAGAAAAACAGCTGTGAGGACAGAACACCCAAACCCACTGTGCCCCTTTATCTGCAGCATCCACACTGCCTGATAGACCTGCACCCTCTTCCTTCTCCTCTTCCAAAATGCAGTCGTCATCCCCATCACCAGCTTCAAGGCAGCAGGAGCAGCGTCCGATGTCGACTCACAGGAATTCTGGGCACAGGGCTTGCTGGGACGCTGGAGCAGGTAGCACCTGCATGGGCCACTGGGGACCTGCTCTCACTAAGGCACCCACGGGACCTCCACCAGCACTGTGTGGGGTGCTGGACCTGTGCTGAGGTGTCCTGCACCCCAAGCCCCTGCAGCCTTGAGCAGATCCAGATTGAGGAGAGGGGGTGGAAGGAGAGCCAGTGAGAACCATGCTCAGCCCCTCAGCATGGGAAAGAGTTATTTTGTAAGAATGTATTTTATTAAAAAATAATAATAAAAATAAACCTTTAGTTTTTCTACTACATCCTTTTGCAGTGCCCATGCTTGCTCTGGTGTACAGTGCTTCTTGGCACCAGGGAATTTGTGCACGCAGAGCAATGCTGCAAAGGGTGTCAGAGCACGGAGGCTCCGTGTTGGACTTGGTGCAGACTCCCCTGGGCTCTGCCCTCCCGTGCAGGGCCGCTGGGCCTCTGGCCACAAGCATGGGTTGTTATCAGCCTTTTCACTGGGGTTTCCGTCTCAGACATGCTGGCTGGCTGGCAGTGAGCCATCAGGAGCTGCTGCCCAGTGCCAGCCCTGCTGCTGCCGCTGCCCTTCTCAGCTCCTTGCACCCAGCTGCAAAGCTGCCCTGAGCAACCCCTGTCCGCACTGCAGGATCAGCCAGCAATCCGGTGTGCAGCAGAGGGCTGCTGGGATGCTGAGCGATATTTCAGGGTGGGAGAGGCACCGTGGCTCCTATGGAACACAGAGGCCATTAAATTTGGCTGCAAACTCAGCAAACTTAACATCTAGTTGTACATTCCCAGTGGGGAGCTTATCTGCTCTGAGAAGAATGCCTTGGTTTCGAAGTTTTTTTTGTTTTTTTTTTTAAGATTACCCAGTTGGTTCCTTTTTTTGGTACTCTTTCTCCTGCTGCTGCCCTGTAAGAGAGGTGCCAGGTGCTTGAAGCAGTGGAGCAGAGACGAGGCTGAGTCCAGGGCTGTTAATCCTCCGTGCTGGCATCATGCAACATGCAGTGCAGCACAGCCCTCAGCACGCCACAGCCAGCAGAGGGGACTGGCAGACCGCAGCTCAGCAGCCGAAGATGAGAATCAGCAAAACAGGAGCACTCAGTTTAACCTCTGCACCCATTTACATGAGGTCAATCTGCAGACAGCACTGCAAGTAGAGCAGGGAACTGTTTCTGCCTCCTTAATCTGTTAACCCACTTGTAATGTTAAATCTCAAATCTTACCTTGGAATTATTAAACACAGAATAGGAAATTAGGAAAATGCTCTTTGCAAAAGATCCTATTCACAACCTCTGAGCAGGGATCCCTAATAGTCTCAGAACTGCTTTAAAAATCGCAGGAGGGTTTATTTCCGTCTCCCTGCTCGCTTTTAAGATATGCAGTCTTTGGGGATCCTCAGCTTTGCATTCACTTCCCAGTCACTCCTGCAGGACCACGTGGTGCAATTTTAATACCTTCAGCAACACAAGCTGCTTGTCCACACCCGCTTGCTAATAGAAAAGTAACTCTTCAACAATTGAATGCTGTCTCCATCCCTTTCAGATGGAAAACACAAAAGAAAAAAATATGTTCTCTAGCTATTCTCTAATCATTACTAACAGGACCAACAAGCCCTTGTGCAGGACACTGCCAGTATAGTGTAGCCAGGGCAGCACTCCTGCACCTATCATGGTTGTTCTGAGGGGAGTGAGCCAGGAGCGCAGTGCTGTCTCCATGCAAAAAGGAAACTGAGGCACAAACAATTTGTGAATGTGGGTGAAGATGCAGGGGCAGATTCTGCCCCTGAGCGGTTATTACTGGTGGTGAAAGTCACCGAGTGGGAGCTGAAATGAATGTATCTTTTCTTCCCCTCAGGCTTGGTTACTGTGGAATAAATCAAATGGTACAGATATTCCAGAAGAGCGATTGCAGAAAAACTTATTCTGCAATAATTATACTGGTTAGTGATTCTGCAGAGATGGGGAATGATATTTCAGCCTCTGCAGAGCTGGCAACATTTGATCATTATGTTTGCACACAATTCCCAGCACAATGAGGCCACCATTTCCACCTGGTGCTTCTATACACCATAACAATGCAAATTAAGAACGAGTAATGCTGAAAAAGAGATGACCTTTTTCCTGTACGATCTCTCCTGTCTTTGAACCCACTCATTCCTTCTTTGGCACTCCCTTTTATATTTAACCCAGTTCTCCAGCTTGAAATTTTCTGGTTACAATCATTCCCTTCCTCTCTTGACATTCAGCTGGATATATCCTCAGGATTGACAGCAACATTTACGTCCTCCCAGCACTCAATGATGGTTTTATTTCTTTCTGTCCTAACCGGCCAGATTGTACTGCGTGGGGAAAGGTCCCTCTCTGCCATTACCACGTTAGACATCTGCAGCTGTGCCTGCAGTCATACTCCCAGTGGCAGTAAGTTGGTACAGCTCATTTTCGCTGCTGCCAGCTCCCAATTATGCCATGCTATTTTCTTTCTCTTTCACTGGTGAAGCCCTCTCTCCTCCTGTTATCTATTTCTAATTGCTTTATTGGCTAATTTTAGAAAACATAAAAGTCAAAAGTGGACAAGTGGATTCTGAATATAGCAGCCATGAAGTCAATGGAGCAGCTCCTCAGTGCTGGTGAACAGGGACCACTCCAGCTGGCAGCACTCAGCACAGCTCTGCTCTGCTTTATGGCACCACAAAGAGTCGTGGCCCATGCTGTTCTTAAAGAAAAGGTGGCTTCAACTCTTTTCTACCAAGCACACCTGGGAAATGCCTGGGAAAATGTGAAGCCTCCCTTGGGTGACTATAAATCAGGGACAGGTTAACCAGCAGTCCTTGAACCCAGGTGTATAGGAAATACTCATTACTGACCATTCTACGCCGAACCATTAATGAACAGAATACCAAAGCCTTATTTTAACCTTCTTACAGCCTTCATGGTAGAAGCATCAGTTAAACGTTATCTGGGACTCTCTGTACTGGTCACTGGTGCTTTGTAGTGCAACCACTTATGTGTTGTGAAAGAGGAAACCGAGGCACATGGGTTTTGTTTTCTGGGAGAAATAGCAGCTTGTGACAGAGGATTGTTACCCAAGTTATTACACTGGGATAAGTGCCATCGCCTGAGGCAAAAGTTTCAAACCCTAGTGATGGTGCTAAGACTGTTTCAGGTGTCACTGTTTCATTAAAGTGACTGATGCTAAAGGAGACAGGTCTTTAGGGGACAATCTTCAACACTTCTTAGTCATCTCCTGGGCATGTCAAAGTTCACAGTGAAGCATTCCAAATGATTTCTGAAGCCCCTGAAAACGTTTCTTGGCAACAGTTACGGCAAAAAGAACTGGAAGTTGAACGTTTCCTTGCTGGAGAGAAACTAAGCTGTACCTGTATGAGCAAGACCCTGCTAGTTATTCAGGATGTCCCTGTGAAATGGGGCTTTTATATTTATACATTTGGATCTTTCAGAGAAGGACGCCAGGGATTTGAAACCCAACTGCATAGCTGTGCACGCAGGGACCTGTGCTATGGACCATGGAGATGAGATGGGTGCCACTGCTGCACAGGCCTTTTTTTCACGTGTGTGCTTCTAGCTGAATTAGAATGAGAATTGACAACGAGCAGCAGAGGTGGTGCCAGGATTTGAACTGATTTCTCCTTGCCTTTGTTTGATTTGGTGTGAAGCCAGCGATGCTGTGTCCCCAAGCTGCCTGCTGCACAGGCAACCAGCCCTGCCTTGGTGCAAAGACAAACCCAAGGCTCTGAGGGAATGAGAGCATTCTTCAATGTGATCCTGAAACTGCTGCCTTCCTCAAAGGATGTGGCACCATGAACACAGACCTAAGCCACTTTTGGACCCAAAATTGCTACAAGGATGCCTCTCCACAGCAGCTTTGCTGCCTTCAGCAGAGACCAAACGTGGCCTGGAAGGGCAGATAATTTATCCAACGGTGGAAAATCCAGCTGGGTCCCTTCAGAAGCCATGCCCTCAATGCACCATTTGTATTTGAAAGGGACTAAAAATTAAACTGCTAATAGTAAAAACCAGAATTAGCAGGCTGTACCAACCTCCCTCTAGTTAACATCACATTGCTTTCACCAGATCCAAGAGTTCTTCTCTGCCCCAATGTTTCTGATTCGTGGAGAGTGTTCTCCTCTGGGTTTTCTCTCTGATGATCCTTCCTAGGTTTCTAATATAGGAATCATTTAGCTGGATGCAAGAATTCTTTAATAATCGAGCCAGCAGCCACACGTACTTGCTCAGTCCATCCCTCACACTGTCAGGGGGTTGGAATTGATGATCCCCTCCAACCTGGGATCCTCTAGGACTCCGTGATCCCTACACTGTCTGTCCCTCACAGCCTGAAACGGCTCCCTGCACGCAGCAGACCTCTGCTCCATAGCAGCGCTGGGCTACCAGCTACACTTCGCCAAGCTAAATAGCCAAAACCCCCGTGTTTTCACCCCGCAGCCTCAGGTGTGCTTGTTGTTTTTACAACACGGACAAATGCCCCCTCAAAAAACAGGGTTTTCCCTCACAACCGCCGCAGCGCACCGGGCGCCGCCTCGCCTCACCTCACGGCCAACGGCCGCCGCGAGAGGAGCGGCCGCCGCGAGCCAATAGGAGCGCGCGCGCGGGCGGTTATTTACAGGCGGCGGGCGGGGGGCTCCGATCCCGCGCGGCCAATGGAGGGCGGGCGGCCGAGGGGCGGCGCGCTCTGATAGGGCGCGTGCCGGGGAGTTTGTCCGGGCGCTGCAAGCGGCGGCACGTTGGAGCGGAGCGGCGCGTGGCCGAGGGCAGGTGAGCGGGCGGGAAGGGCGGGAGCGCGCCCGGAGCCTCCCTGCGTCCGTCGCCTCAGCCGGGGTCCGTCTTGACCGGCCTCGTAGGCCGCGCTGCGTGAGGAGCCTGAGGGCAATGCGGGGCCGCGTCAGCGCGCGGCGTCCCGGGGCTGTGATGGGAGCAGCGGTTGGGGCTCCGGCTATGTGGAATAGACGAGGGGGGGGGGGAAATCCTTCCGAAAGCCGGGTTGTGAGCGGTGTGCCCGCGGTGGGAAACTGCTTCCTTTCCAACAGGCTCCGCGATTCCCAATGCGGCTCTCGCTGCCGCTCCCGATAAGGTGTCAACTTGCGGCAGTCTCCGGTGTGTTGTGCCGTCTGACGCGGGCTGCTTTGAAGCGCTGCTTTTGGAGCTGGGTGAAGCAAGAAGGGAGTTGTTATCTCTGTTGCTGGCAGGGGAAGCCCGAAAGCAGAGTGCTGGTTTGTGGCACAGTGCTGCACCGTCCCCAGGCACAGCAGGAATTTG